AAAACAAAAAAAAACATGTAGGCGTATTTCCTTTCAGACTTTTTCTACTTAAGCACAGCTGAGCTCATCTCATAAATATCATTTTGCAACTTGCTCTTTATGCTTAACATATTATCACAGGCATTCTCTTTTGTCTTTAAAATTTTCTGCAAACATCTGAAATTCATAGCTTATAGACTGATTTTTCCCCAATTTTTTTTATTGTGGTAAAATACATATAAATTTACCATAATAATCTTTGCTCAGTGTACAGTCTGGTGGTCTTAAAGATTCATAATGTACAACCATCACCACCATCCATCTCCAGAATTCTTTTCATCTTGCAAAACTGAAACTCTGAACCTATAAACAACATCTCCCCATTATCTTCTCTGTTGAATGACCTGATATTAATCCCTTATTAGATTTATGATTTGCAAATATTTTTGCCCATTCTGTGGACTGCCCTTTAGATCTGCTGACATTGTCTTCTGATGCCTTAGAATTTTCACAATAAATTATACTAAGGGGCACCCAGCTGGCTCAGTCAAGAGGGCAAGTAACTCTTGGTCTCGGGGTTCTAAGTTCAAGCCCCACATTGGGTGTAGAGATTTCTTAAAAATAAGATCTTAAAAAAAAATTTATTTTAAACACAGACTTCAATTCTGAATGTAATAGGGTGTAGATAGGTCTTTAAGATTTGCATATACTGGGGCACCGGGGCGGCTCAGTCAGTTAAAGGTCAGCCTTTGGCTCAGGTCATGATCCTGGAGTCCCTGGATCGAGCCCCGCATTGGGTTCCCTGCTCAGCGGGGAGTCTGCTTCTGCCTCCCACCCCAACCCCTGCTCCTGCCCCCTCACTCTCTCTCTCTCTCAAATAAAAAAAAAAAAAAAGATTTGCATATATTTCTGAAACCTCTTGTGGAGGTAAATTTTGAATGGTATCTGCTTATACTTTCCAGGCCTATACTTAGTACATTGATTGGTCTGTTCATCACTGGACTTACTGTGTGACATATCTGAGAATGAGACTGTTAATTGTAATTATAATCAAATATAAGAATAAATAAATGCATGTTATTAATACCTTAAGTTATACTAGAGGGTGCCTGGGTGGCTCAGTTGGTTGAGGATCTGCCTTCGGCTCAGGTCATGTCTCAGGGTCCTGGGATCAAGCCCCTTGTCGGGCTCCCTGCTCAGCGGGGAGTCTGCTTCTCCCTCTCCCTCTGACCCTCCTCCCCGCTTGTGCTCGTGTGCTCTCTCTGTCTCAAATAATAAATAAAATCTTAAAGAAAAAAAAAAGATCTACTAAAGCACTGTATACTATGTTGGGAACAATTTTTTTCTAACAGCTTTATTAAGGTATATTTTATGTCTTAAAATTCACATTTAAAATGTACAATTTGATGATTTTTAGTAAATATACAGAGTTGTGCAAAGATCACCATAATCCAGTTTTAGAATTACAGGCAGAGTTCATTTTAACAAAAGTGTCTCTCATCATTTTGGAGCTCCTTCTAAGTTTAGTAGTTTTAAAATTTTTAAATCAAAAGAGGCTCAACACTGGTGCTTAGACCCTAAAATTTACAAAGATCAAAAAATGAAAATTCAATAATGTACACTATCCAATTAGAATAAACAAGTCAAACGAAATATAGACAACATATCTGGGGTTTTTTTGTTTTTTTTTTTTAAAGATTTTATCTATCTATTTGACAGAGAGAGACACAGCAAGAGAGGGAACACAGCAGGAAGAGTGGAAGAGAGAGAAGCAGGCCTCCTGCAGAGCACGGAGCCCAATGTGGGGCTCGATCCCAGCACCCTGGGATCATGACCTGAGCCGAAGGCAGACGCCTAACGACTGAGCCACCCAGGCACCCCTAGACAACAGATCTGTTTTCTTATGGTAACATATTCACTGCTAACAGAGCACATAAAAAAAGGGAATTCGATGTCCCTCCACACTAAATGATAAAAACCCACATAATAAAACTGAGTCACCATTCAACAGAGAAATCACAAATGTTCAATTATGCTTAACAAAAGCTATCACCTTGAGTTCAGCAGAAACTGATGACTGTCAGGGCAGACACAAATTCAACCTCACTTTATTTTTTTTATTTATTTATTTATTTTAAATATTTTTATTTATTTATTTGAGAGAGAGAGAGAGAATGAGAGAGAGAGAGCGAGCATGAGAGGGGGGAGGGTCAGAGGGAGAAGCAGACTCCCTGCCGAACAGGGAGTCTGATGCGGGACTCGATCCCGGGACTCCAGGATCATAACCTGAGCCGAAGGCAGTGGCTTATCCGACTGAGCCACCCAGGCGCCCCATCACTTTATTTTTTTTAGAATAGTTCCACCAAAATGAAACACAGAAAAACACTTAAAAAATTCACATACCTGATTTCTTTGGAAACAGAAATTACAGGCCCAAAGTTTCGCTCGATAATCAACCTGACTGTGAGAAAGATAAACATTACAGCTAGGTACCACTTTCATTTTTAATGTAGAAAGCATTCAAATGTAATCCTCAAATTCAGTAAATCACATATATATGTTTCTGTGTGTGTGCATGAATGAATGGAGGTATGCAAAATGCCCACTGCAGTTAAAGAGTTCTGGCTGTTAAATACACCAAAAATTTCCTTCTTACAGCGGCAATGAAGAATTAGTAAATCTTTTTTTCCTCTTTTCTAATTTCCTTGATAATATTTAAAATTTCATGATTTTATATAAATTATGTTATTTCCTTTTTACCCTATTACCTTGATATAATCTGTGTGAGTTTTCTAACATCTTTATTGTTTTAGATATGTGAAACTACCAAATTTCAATACTAAAGGCACATTTCATGCACAGGAAAAACCTGGCTGACTTTCACCTCACCTAGCTCACTTGAAAAAGTTGGGGGGCATGCTTCTGGGTGGATACACTTCCCAGAACTGGTTATAGATACGCTTCACTTGCTTCTTTGCCCCCTTTCTACATTGAGAAAACAAGCAATGGCTATCTCTTCACAAGAAGAGCAGCAGCATCGTACTTATGGTTACATGAAGTAACAGCAAGGGCAATGCAGTAAAAAATGTTCCCTCATATAAAAATGTTACCTTTTAAAGAGTATTTCTGATACTCTTCACCTCTTTAAAAAATTCTTTCAAATAATGCCCACATTTAAGAGAAATATCATAGGTCACTATCTCAGGTACAAAAAATTACACCTAACAATCATTAAGAGTGGTGATTTCTTCTGCGTATCACTTCCTGCCATACAGCATCACCATACCAGGTAAGTATGAGAAAACTGTCTACAGCTTTTCATTTTTGGAAATTGCTTTAAAAGGCACCCATATAATCTACAGTTAAGCCAAAAGCAAACTGAAATTAGCCAAAAAAAAGAAAAAAAGGGAATTTCAGATCCCTTCCCTTTACTTCCACTTCATTCCCATAAGTTCCAATTTTATCTGGAGTATTAGGCCGGGAAGACTTTACAAGCATTTATCACATAAGAAGCTCACCATTCACTTCTCTACTCAAATTTAATGACTTGCCCAAATTGAATCACTTTTATGAGAATCACGTAAAAGTCACAATTACTGTATTCTTCTTTTTCACTAGTTTTAAAAAGAATTCATACCAAAGTGGATTGAGAATGGCTTTGCAAGTTGTCCGGCTACAAAGCACAGGTTCATACTGTACAGGAGGCAGGTCTGGACGTTCTTTCAAAGGAGTAAGGAGACAAGCCAGGGGAACAACCATTCTCGTAGCCTCGAGACGGCTGGAAGGCCACACGTTCCAACTAAAGCGCACACCATCCCGTTCTTCATTCTGCTGAATGAACTCCAGATATGTTGCCATAGTCTAAAAAGAAACCGAAGATAAAGCTGTAATTTTATGTGAAATTCTCAACTAAACTTCAAAAAAGAAGATAGTCAATAGTCGTCTAACGCAATGTTTTTTAAACACTTAGTCCAGAAGAACCAGTCACTGTAAGATGACATCTCCCTTCCCTTTGATCCTCAAAAGCCAATTAACTTCACAGTTATCTTTGACTATTGTTCCTTTCTCAACTCTCTCTACCACTTAAAGAAATAAATAAAAGGTGTGGGGAGTTTACCATTATTTGATCACTTTTAAGCTGCAAGTAGTTGAATACTAATGTAAATCTTCTCATAGATCACACATCTCAACCAAGTAAGTCTCAAACCCCCTTTCAGCATCCAGCTACCTTCCCCCTTGATCCCGTTCCTTCTGTGCTTTATTAAAGCAAACACCGTATTAAATTTTACATTCCAAGTGATCTCATTTTTGTGCCCTTTCCCCTCCTCTCTGTTAACTGTGAAGACAAAAACTGTATGTTGATGTGTGAATCCAATGCATAATCCACCACCAGTTCTGAGCCAAAGTATTTTTACTTGGGATCACCAAAATTACAACGCTAGGTTTGCTATCATGCTGAGTGAATCACCAGGACTTCTCTCCTCACCATGGTTGCTCATGCTCATGCCTCAAAAGATTCTGGTTAATAAAATAACCATTTAGACTAAGCTTTTCAAACCCCACACTGCCAACTCCATTGAATGTTTCATACATCCTGTTTACATCCTTAAAATCTAGGCTAAGAAGAACACACATCTCAGTCACCAGGTTCAAGGGAACAAGACCCTCAAGAAAAATGGAAAAACAGGCAAATTAAAGAATCTACATTATTAGTAGCCTCTAGTGCTCACTTTATGCAGGGCTTAATAACTGTCTCTATGTTATTATGAGAAGTGCCATACATACTGTAAATAATGTGAACTAAGGAAATGGTTTTTATATGACTAGAAAAGCAAATGAAACAATTAGTTTACTACACACAACGCAGACCACAAAAATTCCAAATGTTTGCTCCAACTGAAACTCTAAAGCATGTATTTGTTCCTTCCAGCAAAGGCAGGAAACTGAAGCACCCTTACACAGGACCCACTTCTGCAGCTACCTGAGTGGCAAAGGGATAACTCAGGTGGGAAGAAAAGCGTGTTTTTTTTTTTTTTTAAGATTTTATTTATTTATTTGAGAGAGAGAGAGAATGAGAGATAG